TCTTACCTAAAAACAGGTACATTTACCCATAATACTTCATTACACTTTGTTGTTTTAATCAGTCATTTCTCCATTTCTCCACACTGATTTACTGTATGCATACTGAATTTACAGCTCTTGAGAAATTATCACAAATCAGCCAAATTCAAGGCCACGGAGCACAGCAGCATTCAGAAGACGCCAACTGGTTCAGGAGGATCGGTGCTTTATTCCTAAACCTCCAGCTTTTGAGAGATTTATCTATTTGTTGGTTGTGTTTGACTGATTGTGTGTGTGTGTGTTGTCTCTGTCAGCGTGGAACTCAGCCCTGCAGTGTGAGCACAGTCCTGTGAGGATGAGGGATTTCTTTCTTCTCTCCTTCCAGGTAAGTTCAAGCACAGTTCCTCTTAGTAGCTGCAGGCTAGTTCATAATCACATTAACGCAAACCCACATGCTGATACTGTAGCTGTAGTTAAGTGTAGTTAAATCGAGATGTGTGATGTGTTGTCTGGCTGGGCAGCTGTCGCAGTTGTGCGCCCCAGACCGAGGTATGTTGATGGGGCAGAAGACGTGTCTGCTGATGGCTGCTGCTGCGTCTCTGGAGATCTGCAGGAGCTCTGATCATACTGAGCAACAGGTGGATCACTCACTCGTTTATCACTTCCACCTGATTAAACAATAACCAGGAGGCAAGAGGTGTTTTGCTTGCTTTTTAAAGACAAGGTGGAGCCTTGAAACTTGACACTGTATAAATTCTGAATATGGACTGAAGTTGTATGCTTAAAAGCATGATCATTTCAAGGGTTTTCTAAGTGAAATTCCTTTTTGCTTTCTTAAGCTACAAACTCTCCACATCAGTGTCAGTGGGCCTCTGTATTTTCTCAGTATTACTGAGTCCAAGGCCTCCTATTGTCCACAACACTATTCCGGAGGCCCAATACTCTATAAATGAAATTTCTTGATTCCACAAGTTGAAAATTCTTAAAGGGATAAATGAACACAAAAGAAGATATTTTGAAGAATGCTGGTAACCAAACAGTTGCTGATAGCCATTGACTTCCATGGTATTTTTTTCCATACTGTGGAAGTCAATGGCTACCAGCAATTGTTTGGTTACCAACATTCTTCAAAATATCTTCTTTGTGTTCAACAGAAAAAAGAAACTCATGAAGGTTTGAGTGTCAGGTCAGGGTAAGTAAATGATAATAACATTGTAATTTTTGTGTGAACTGTCCCTTTAAAGTTTCCCATTCTGTCTAACCAATGACTTTCCCAGTCATTTGTGATATACAGGACAAGGGATAAGGAAAAATAATATTTTTAAAATATATTTTTTAACTCACACTTTCTAACTCACTTTCCAAAAATTTATTATTAAAAATCATAAAAACACCAGTGGAGTTTTAATAATTTGATAATTTAATGATTTGTCCAGGCCTAGAAATCACACTTTTAAAATTAGGCAACATAACTAATCCAGGTTTTCCCTGTTTCTTCAAAGAAAATAAAAACAGTTTTTGAGGCGAATTAAATTAAGAAATATCTTTTTAGTTAATTTAGCTTATTTTAATGACTAATAGCTTATTTTATTTTTAATTTTGGCTCCCTTGGAGGTTTGCCTAACCCCCTGGTTGAAAATCACTTTTATAGGGATTGCAGAATTAAAATATATATTTTAATATATTTAATATTTACATAAACATACAATTATTAAATATTAATATTCATTTATTTATTATTGGTAAGTCTAACCAAAAAATATTCTTGATTGCTTTAATATACTGACAGCCCTTCATTTTGTTAATGAAAACAAGATTTATTTCCAGCAGAAGTACAAAAGCAAATATCAAAGCCCATGTAGGGGGTTCTCCAATATTGGTTTTGACAATGGGAGACCTTGAGGTTGGAAAGTTTTGAGAAACTACTCCACACGTGTTCGCTGATCTCAGTTTATCCTTGTTACTATGACTAACCAGCAGAGGGCGCAGTGTATAATATCTGCTGTGCTTTCAGACTGAGCTCCTGACCCAGACTCTAGAGCACATTCAGCTCTGTAAAGAGATCTGGACGACCATCAAATCATCAGGTGTCACCTACAATTTTAATTTTTTTACATATGTTGGATTCTACATGCAGACTCTACCTGTTTGTCCAGAATGATAAGGATCTTAAGCATCTTTCTGGCACATTCTTTCCTAGGCACTTCCTCTAAAGACAAAACAGACACATTATTGCTGCTCTATGAGTTTGAAGCCCGGGCCAAATTAAATGATCCAAAGCTTGAATCAGTGCTCGAATCAGTTTTGGAACTGGATTACATTGAGACCAAGCTGCTAGAAATGATCGCAGGTGAGCTTCTAGAACCATAACCTCTTTTTTAAAGAATTACATATTTGAAAGATTTATGGATGGTGAAATACTGACTGAATGTGTGGATATACACTACCATTCAAAAGTTTGGGGTCAATTTTTATTTTTTATTTTTTTTTGAAAGAACTGAATACTTTTATTCATCAAGGGTACATTAAATTAATCAAAACTGACAGCAAGGACTTTTAATGTTACAAAATATTTTTATTTCAAGTAAATGCTGTTCTTTTGACCTTGTTATTCATCAGAGAATCCTGAAAAAATATCAGTTTCCATAAAAATATTAAGCAGCATGACTGTTTTCAACATTGATAATAACGATTCTTGGGCACTAAATCAGCATATTAAAATGATTTCTGAAGGATCATGTGACACTGAAGACTGGAGTAATGATGCTGAAAATTCAGCTTTGCCATCACAAATAAATTACATTTCAATATATTTTTTTTTGATGTTTTTTGTTGTTGTTGTTGTCTTGGTGAGCATAAACAATTAAAGAAATCTTACTGACCCCAAACTTTAAAATGTTAGTGTATAAAATACTATAAGCTCTGATGGTCCTGTACTTTGTGTCTACAGTCCTGGCGATGGAACCACCGGCCCATTTCCCTGTTCTGTGTAAGAAAGCACTGAGGATCGCCTTGTCTCTGCACAGAAAACAGCCACAGGTCGACCTCACCCGCTGCAGGTCAGACTAGCCAAGCGTTACTTACACAATTAATTTACCAGACTGATAGATAACAAAAAACACCAAACTGTTCCTCATATGACACACACCTTATACATGTGTGTGTGTCACAGTAACTGTTTACACAGCCTGATTCAGCTGACCCTGCCGAGCGGCGTGTCTGAGGTGCAGCCCTGCGTGCTGGAGGAAGTATGGGGCTACTATGAGGAAGCTCTTTCCATCATAGCAACCGCAGTGAGTTGGTTACTATGACTCAGCAGCCGTCACACACGACCCGCTGCAGCTCAGCCCCGCAATTATCCCCATCTTTAAAAGAATCTCCTGTTTCTGTCAATGGGCTTTTAGTTATGCCTCAGTTCGCAGATGCTCCATTCACCAGCTTCTTCCTGCCAATTTGGATGCTAATTTGAAATCTCGCCTGCGTCCTTTATCTTGAACTAGCGTTGCAGAAAACGTGCATATGCATCAGGGTGCTATTCTGAATTCGTGACCTTCACGACACCGTCGATATGAAATCGCATTATAGAATTCTGCAGCTATTATTATAGCATCTGATCCATTCCTCCTTGATATCAGTAACGCAGTGGTTTTCAAGCTTCTCCATGAAGTACCCCCAGCACTGCACATGTTGTATGTCTCCCTATATCTGACACACCCACTTCATGTCTTGCAGTCTCCACTAATGAGCTGATGAGTTGAATTAGGTGTGATAGAGGGAGACATACAAAATGTGCAGGGCTGGGGGTACTCCAGGACAGGTTTGAGAACCACTGCACTAACGGACGTCTTGCTTTCTCACACAGCCCGAGGACTTTCCAGAACTGGAGATCCTGTGGCTGCTGACCCGAGCGTGGAATACAGGAATCCTGCTCTACAGTCTGGCCCAGTATCCTGAGGCCGAGCGGTGGTGCGGGCTGGGAATGAGCTTCCTGAAGCACCTGGGCTCCCTGCAGGACAGCTATCATTCTCAGGTAACGGTGCAGGAGGCAGACGGGCCGCTCTACAGCTGTTTGAGCGCTCGACCCAAGGCGCTGGATTTCATTTTCATGTTTCATATTCTCCTTGCCTCAAGTCAGGTGCGTGAGCTGCTTTTTTCATCACCTCAGTAGGAGGCTTAATTAGAGCAGGTTTGGTTACAGCTATGTAGGTCGGTAGTTAAAGCAACTTACAGTAGTTCAGCTAGTATTTTAAATGTGTCATTTGGCAAGAATGAATTCAAGAATTCACAAGATAATATTCAATAAAAACATTTTGTTAATGTTGTCTGTTAAAAGAAAACGTGGCACGGTGTGAATAAAATACATGAAATGTGTCTCCCCAGATGGCGGGTCTGTACAGTGAGGTGTTGGACAGGCTGGATAAAGCAAAGAAGAATCTCATTATTGAGGAGTGAATGACGGCGTCTTCAGTCGCAGATGGAGATCTCAGGTCTAACTGCACGCGTTTAATATGCAGTGTGAATTTCTGTGCATGTTTTTGAGAAGCTAAGAGATGTACAATGCATCTGAGGGGTTTGTTCGTACGGTTATGAAATGGTTCATATTCATTTAATCTGAAATATTTCTGGCAGTATTATTTTATTACCTGTCATCCGGTTATCTGTTTGAGCTTTTCTTGGTTGACTAGTTCAAAACATCTGCATTGCGATACAAAACAAATAAAAATGCATGCATTGAAATCGTAACAGAGTCACATAGTTTATTTCCAAACAAATAAACTCTTGTCCAGTCCAAAAAAAAGAAGAAAAAGAAATAAAAATAAAATAATAATAATAATAATCATTAGGACTGTGTTCCTTCATGACCAGGATATAAAACAGCAGTTTTCCTTGTGTCCTGATGGGTTGTGCCACCTGTAATCATGGGGAGGACACTACTGTACAATCAAAGGGTTCATATTTGCAAGAACTTACTGCACAGGTGTGCTGTCACATCAAAAACGTCCAAAAAAAAGAAGAAAAAGAAATAAAAATAAAATAATAATAATCATTAGGACTGTGTTCCTTCCTGACCAGGATATAAAACAGCAGTTTTCCTTGTGTCCTGATGGGTTGTGCCACCTGTAATCATGGGGAGGACACTACTGTACAATCAAAGGGTTCATATTTGCAAGAACTTACTGCACAGGTGTGCTGTCACATCAAAAACTCATAATCACTCAAAAAGACAAATCAGACCCATTCCTTCCCCATTTCACACTCGTGTCTTCCAGAGCAGAGACACTCATTAGTACACCAGAGCTGTTCTGATTCAATCCACTTCATTAGAAATATAGTACAATGAATCAAAATTCTTTGGGCTTCACCAACACGGCTGACCGGCATCAACAGTGCGAACGGTCAGCTGCTTTTCCGCTTGTCACCTCAGAGGACCAGATCTACACTAAAAGGAGTCATTTAAGCTCCTGGTTTACTTTAATATCAATCTATGGGTTGCCATCCGCATGTCTTTTTATATATATTTATATATATTTTTACATTTGTTTTTCATCTATACACTCAGACAAGTTCCACAAGATATCACAAGTAGACAGGCCGTATTATAGGGAAGCTGTTCCCGACTCACTAAAAAAATGTTCTGATAGGCAGCTGAAGATATTTTTTCTATAGAGAAATACCAACGTTACGGCACATTTGTATGGAAATTAATCTCAGAATAAATTCAAAGTTTACTTACCTGACATTTGTGATTTATAAAACATGTATGTCCCAGTTGTATCACACATGCATGAAGCACAAGTGAGGGGGATATTTACACTTTACAGCTATCATACCCATTAAAACAGTCTGTAAGCAGTTTATAAATGGCTCTGTTCCCTTCGATTATTCCCTGAACTCTGGTTTTGACACAGGTATGACAGCTGATTTCGCAGAGACGCTTGGCAGGTGAGCGCACCTGTTTAGAAAATGCCTGCGGAGCGGGGCGGGGGAAGAGAGTGGGCCCAAGAACTTCCCTCGCTTCCTGCGGGATCCAGACTTCTTGATACAGAAAGAAAGATTGAAGGAAGTACTGTGCTTCTGTATCCTGTTCCCATTCTCTCCGGCTGAACCCAAGGGTGACCACAGACATAGTGCTTACAAAAGGTTTCAAATAAAAAAAAAATTTTTTAAAAAAAGGAAGGACTAAATATTTAGAATTCACAAGTATAATATATCAGCATGTCTGGGTGTTCAGTTAGAGGAGAGAAAATCATCCCATTTGAGTTCATACTCTCTCTATTCCATCACAATATGATCGCGGCCCTTTAGTAGTGTAAAAAAAAAAAAAAAACATTGTAGTAATTATCCATCAGATTCCTGAGCTCGCCAAGCTCGCCCCGGCACAAGGCTCAACACAGTGAAGTAAACATCAGCCCGGAAATGAGGGAGCAGAAGAAGAAAAAAATTGTTAAAAAGCTGTCATTACAAAGAACAGATTTAATCAAACCATCGTCGAGTTCTGGGGAAAACGGTAAATTTCAGGCTCCACTAACGCTTTAATATCAAGAAGGACATCCAATACAATTATTGTCTTGATTCTACCCGTTTTAAGGCTGCGCTCCTGGGCAGCTAACAGGACAGTACCTTGTTACCGTTCAGTCTGAAGAGAATATAGTCATGGTAGGCAGAGGAAGTGCAAGTGGGCTGTCTGCTTTTCAACAACTCCAATGGCGGCCGAAATTGGATTTTGCTTAAGACAAAAAAAAGCTTTGCAAAAAAGGATTTCACAGAGGTAAGACACTTAAGTCTATTGCACTCACAAGTTAGGCCTCCAATAGGATGACGGGAAACTCACAAATAGCACTAAAATCGTGTCTCCCTCTAAGCACTGATAGGTTGAATATTGTGTCGTTCCCCCTCCCCCCCCACGATTGACAGGAATTTGACAGAAGCGTTTATTCATCGTAAGGCAGTTTGGTGGTCTGCAGAGAGCCCAGTTACACCTCTCTACCCCCATCTTTAATACAGAGCAGCTAAAACCACAAGAAAGAAAGAACACAAAAACCCAAAGACAGGTAAATGAAATCTAACAGCCCTCAGAGTAGACAATTCTAGTGAAGTGTAAAATGAGTACCGTATCATTTTGTATTATGTAGTAAAATCTCTCCGTAGGGTTTTTATTTTCCATGTGATTTCAGTAATAGAAATGTATAGACTCAAACCCCGTTTTCCATTTTGTTCTGCCTCCGAATGCGTCGCCATACAAACGGCCAGGCAGCCGATCAAGTAAAGCGAGCTGGTTTGTGAGTTCTGTTTTGAAGTTTATCCGTTAGAAACATGAGCAGTGACGGTACCATCAGCAGGTTTGAACTGTATCTAGTCCTCATAAAAAAACCTCGCACAGCATCCTCAAACGTCTTTTTCCATGAAATCGAATGAACATATACAAGGTTCCCGCTCGTGCCACCATCTCCAACTCCCCAGCTCCCCATTCTCGCTTTGTTGAGACATTCTCATCTTCAAGTCCGTCCGAAACGCACGAAAGGATCTGCTCAGTTTTCCCTTTTTTGTTTTACATGACAAAAAATCTTTAGGAATGGCATTTCCAATCTTGAATGGAATTGCTGAGAAACTCATGCAGGGGTGTGCACAGTCACAGTAATGGTGATAAGACGTCTTTCAATTGAGGGTAACATAATGATGACACTAAAACTTGATATGAAACATATCAGTGAAAGGGAAGGAAAGGTGTCGGGTGGGAGTGGGTGCGGGGGTCAGGTGGGGGGCTCCGTGGAGGCGGCGAGCTCAGAGCTTCTCTGCGGACGGGATCCAGATGTAAGGGCCTGACTGCTCCTCTATGATCAGCTTGATTTTATTATAGATCTCATCTAGTGAGTCACCCTGGACTATGGCTGTGGAGACAGACAGAGAGAGAGAAAGAGAGAGAGAGCAACAGTCATACTACAGCACACTGTTAAACAGTAACAGAGGGAGTGGACTAAAAGATTCTCTCTGGATACAGTTAAGAGAAATCACATGATGGTGGGGGTTACCTGTGAAATACTCTCCAAACTCTTGTTCGAGCTTCATTGCCTTATCAAAGACTTTACTGGCTTGCTCATATGTCTGCCTCTTATTCAATTCCCTGATGAACACAAAGAAGTGCATTACTTATTTCACATTGCATAAGCACATGCACAGAATTATGAGACAAAATGTAGATAACTACCATTTAAAAGTGTAAAAGTATTTTTTTTTTGTTCACCAAGGCTGCATTTATTTGAACAAAAATGCAGTAAAAACAGTAACTTTGTGAAATATTATTACAATTTAAAATGGTCTATTTTAATATATCTTACAATGTAATTTACTCCTGTGATGGCAAAGCTGATTTTTAGAAGCCACTACTCTAGTGTCACATGATCCTTCAGAAATCGTTCCAATATGCTGATTTGCTGCTCAAGAAACATTGCTTCTTATTATAAATACTACAAACAGTTGTGCTGCTAAATTTTTTGTGGAAACCAAAAGAGCAGCATTTATTTGAAATAGAAAAATTTTCTAACAAAAATATAGAACCTTCAAATTTAACACATCCTCAACACAAAAACCGCACAAAAAAAAAACTACCAAACATGATATACATGACACCAAACTTTTGAACGGTAGTGTATACATTTAATTTACAAAATCTTAAACTTACATTAGGGCCTCCACAGATTTTGGCTTGATGAAAATGGCGATTGGATAGAGCTGTGCTTGCTGCAGTCGCTTTATGGCGTTCCCAGACACATCCAGGATACAATGTTTTCCCTACAAGAGGATTAAAGAAACCCTTTCATCCCGTGTCACACTTTCACTGCACACAGTAATTGCCACAGGGAAAATATTTAAGGATTAAACAGGAGTTCAGATCCTCTGGCATGTTTACACTAGGGAGTCACTGACCCTTTCAGCCACTGCCCGGACAGACAGGATGCTGGTCCCGTACAGATTCTCATTGAACTGGCCGGCCTCGATAAATTTGTTGTCCTGAATGTCCTTCTCCATTTGCTCCCTTGAAGCCACAAAGTGGTAGTCCTGGCCGTCCATTTCATTCTCTCGTCGAGGACGAGTTGTATCTGAAGAAACGTGTGTATGTCTTGCTTTAGTACCGCTAAAACATTTGATGATAAAGATGTTGTACATGCAGCCAGCATGGCCTTTTCTTATTACACTCACGTGGGACGCAGGATCCAAACTTGTGGGGAAACTCTGAGATCAAGTCATCGTTTACTCTGTCCTTCATTGGACCCAGGATAATCACAGGCCTTGTGTAATGGACTGAAAAGAAAGCCAGATCAATGTTGGTCAAAAACTTCCAGCCTTGAGAATAACTTCTTGGCTTTCCTCATGGAGGACATATCATGGAAAACAGGATTTTTTTTTTTTTAAATACAAGCTCCCTCCCCAGTCCACACAGACCATTTAAGAAAACTAAACTGCAAACACATTTACAAATGGTCACATTATCAGATGACGTTCATATTTGCATATCAACTATTGTTTATTTAATGCCTTAACCCACCCTAATGAAAAACAGCTTTAACTATGGCACATACACTTCACGTTAAGAAATAAAGGCATCATAAAAGAGGTTATTTACATATAGAAATCCTAAAGCAAAAACAGTCTGTTTAACTGTGATAGCTTACACTGCTACAACAAACACACCCAACTTGTGTCATGTATACTTGAGCAGAGAAAAGTAGATTGTAGCTTGGCCGCACAAAAAACTAGATCATAACTGCACATGTAAAATGCAGCAACTAATCCAAAAAACATAACCGTTGGAATTTGTTGTGTGTTGGCATGTGGGCAGTGAAAACCAGGATTAAGGGTCAGAGTGAGACTATTTTATAAAAAATATAAAATTCGGAATACTTACTCTCCTGTCGAATTACTGGCTCATATGAGAGAATTGTGTCTTCCTGACCCTCTGCATGACGAGAAAAGATAAAAAAATATCCATATGAAATATGAAGGTTTCATTTATCATCATTCAATACAAAAACAATCCACTTGAAATACCACTGGAATGAACTTGTAGGTGACATAGATCATAGCTATGAATCAGTTTTTTTTAAGCATTTAAAGGTTAATAGCATGACACTGATCAAATGGAATGTTGCACCTCTGCAGAATACACTGGCACAGATTTAATGCAGTAAGCACAAAATGGATGTTTAGAGGCACTTACTGGAGCTGCTTTCACTGTCACTGGTGTTGGACGTCAAGCATTCTGTGGATATAAGATGAGTTTAGAAATGTCACAATGCACATTTTCGCCCATATGTAAGATTAATAGTATATCCAGCACAGCTCGGAATGAAACTATACACCCTCCCGTACCATCATGCCAAGAATAGAAAAGGCTGAGTGAAGAGAGGAAAACAAACAGAGAGAACTTTTGGGCACTTAAATGGCTGCCGTTTCCTTAGAAGGGAAATGGTAGGATGAGGCAGCAATAGGAAATTAAGTATTTCCTTTTCCTACGACCCTAGTGATCTTAGATTCCGTGCTGAGCGTTTCCTATGACCTTGCCAGTGTCCAGTTCATCAGACAGTGATACTGCTCCTCATGCCAAAGTAAACAAGCCAGTGTTGGATTCCTTACAGGAATCAAATTACAAACATCCCTTAGATACAGTGACAACATGATTAAAACATTAAAAACACTAAACACACACTCAACCCAGCCCAGTATGAGCTGGCTTTGAAGACACTATGGGACCTCAAGAGGTCTACCGTGGATTCACTCTCCCTTCAGTGTATCATATGACAATCAGATCTTTGATTTAAGAATATTTATGTGTGAATGATTTATGTGTTTAAAAATGGTTCCTTTCAGGTCATGGTTTGTGAGTCTCTTGCTGTGAATTCTTTACTGATTTTTATAAAGTAAACGTAAGAATAACTTATATTTTTAGTAATTTTTCAAGATGAACATTTACTGGACAGAAGCAACATAGGTTTACATGATTATACATCGTTTTTTGTTTTTTTTTTTTAGAAAAGCCATGTTACAATGTATATGATACACCAGGCTTTTAAGAAACATTTATTTGTACCTCTCTCAGTCATTGTATTGCACTGCATTATATGTTTTAAATGCAATAAAAACTTCACAGCTTTGATCATAAAACTAAGCAAATATCATCCTCTTAAAATTATTAGGAGAGAGAGAGAGTGACAATATTTATTTGCATTTTATGTAAGTAGTCTGTTATAAAGATATTGATTTACATTATAAGCTATCAGAATTTTTATCTTGCCTTTTTGGTCATAAATATCAGCATCTGCACCAAATTTTTTACATATTTTACTCGTGTATGAGCTACCTATTTTCACTATATATACTGTATGAGCCATAAAAGCCTGACGTATCAAATATGATATTTAACAAAAAAAAAGCCTATTTATTTTAAGATTTGTATTTATTCATTTTTGTCTAAGGCTCAAACTGTTTACAGGGTTACATCTTTCAAAATGTAATAATTTGTACTTGTAATTGCTTTATTTTCACGTAGGCCATACAGATTATTGGATAAAGTTAACCAAATGATAACTCTCTTTTTAAGCATGGTTTTAGCAAACTCACATTAGGCCTGGCTCTATATTGGTACGTTACACCCACTTTTCACCTTCTAATAGACACTTGATGGATAGAATCACGTCCTACATTTTAGATGCTAAACATTGTTTCACTCTGAAATGCGGCACTAAAATGAGTTGCGAATGTCAAATAATGTACTTTCAAAAAGCAGATGACTATTAAGGTAATACTTTCATTACAGGTAAATAATACTTTCAAAAAGCAGATTAAGGTACTATTAAGGTAGAGAGGAGATTCTGTGAGAAAGAGAGAGAAACAGAAAGAAAGAATAAAATGTGTGTGGTGTGTAGCACAGCCGGTTCAGTCAGCTCAGTGAACGGCTGCTTGACAAGAGGAACCACACACTTACTCAAACTCTTTGATCCATAAAAGTCATCGCTTAACCCTGGGAAGTCCTGAGCGTCCCGACAGGTGAAAGCAAGAACAAAGAGAGAGAGCAGAAAGGAAGAAGAAAGAGGTTAGTGAGAGGCTGGGAGAAGAGAGGTGTTGCCCTCTCAAGGGATGAAGCAATACTAACATCACCTTGCTGTGCGGTGAAAGATCTGGGTTGTCCGTTTGTAATTTAAGGGGCTTCCCATGCAGATTCATCAGTAACAAAATTATAAGTTCAAATGCTGAAGGGAGCAGCTCTAAACAGCTCTGACACTGATGGATGTTCTAGCACAGCATTTGAGTGTTAGTGCAGCCTCACACCTGTGAGAAGTGCTGAGGTCCCCCTCAGAGCAAGACAAAGGCCAGGGAGGCCCTGATTTGCTCGGTTTCCTCACAGAAAGGTCAAGAGCCAATCAGAAGCCGTCTCCAGGGTGAGTGACAGTGACAGGATGAAGCATGAAGGACAGAGTCAGAGCCCTCGTCACAAGCTTATACTCACGTTCAGTCTCCACCAACTCCTGCACTATATTCTCCTTACTCTTGTAAAACGGGAACTTGCGTGATAGGTTGAAGCTTTTTTTGCGCTTCACTTTGACTGGCTGAGTGGACACGAGCCAATGGTGGGGGAATGGGGATGAGGAATGAAACAAACACACAAAAAAAACACAAGAATGGGTTTCAATGTAATTCACAGCACACATGCAAAAATAAAACCAAAGATGACATGGTCGCACAAACAAGTGGGGATAATGAATTTAAACAACATTTAAATTCAATTAAATTAAAGTTCATTTTAAGTTTTGACGTTTTAACTGTGAATGTAACAGAAGGAATACATAACAGAACAATGAAAGATGTTAAATATCTTCATTGCACAAATTGCAGAAGAAGAAAAAAAAAAAAAACCCTGGTAAAAGTGAAGTGTGCCATATTTTTTGTTAAAATACTTTTTTGTCTTCCGGTTAAATGTGCAGAGTCAACTACACCACCAAAAATTTTGGGCTCTGAAAGATTTTTCATGATCCTTCAGAAATCATTCGAATATGCTGATTTGGTGCTCAAGAAACATTTCTTATTATTATCAATGCCGAATACAGCTGTGAAAATGATGAACATTTTTTTCAGGATTATTTGAATAGAAAGTTTTTTTTAAAAACGGCATTTATTTGAAATGGAAATCTTTTATAACATTATAAATGTCTTTACTTCCACTTTTGATCAATTTAATGTGTCCTTGTTGAATAAAAGTATTCATTTATTTTAAAAAATCTAACTGACCTTATTTTTGAACGGTAATGTACAAATATGCCATATGGAGACTTGTTTTTAATTTTTTTTTTAAACACACACTTCACCCTTAAAAGTTTAGTTCACCCAAAAATAAAATCTGGTCATTATTTACTCACCCTTATGTCGTTCATTCTGCCAAACATCTCCTTTTGTGTTTAATGAAAGAAAGAAAATCATACATGTTTGTAATAACATGAAGGTAAATAAATGACAACTGTTATTTTCGGGTGAACTACCCTTTTAAGATACAATAAAGTGTTTCTCAATCCTGGTTCTAGAGGGCCCCCAACAGTCAATTCAGGTCATAAGCCCTATTCGGATGGGACTGTTTTACAGGGAGTCGTTAGAGAAATTTGTTTCACAGACATACTTTGCGATTTAATCCCGTCTGAATCTGCCACGTCTGTGTTTTTCTCACAAAACCTCTGTAATAATTCCACTAATCCTGTCCGAATGCGAATGTCTGTGATTTTTTTTCACAACACATTTTCTTGTGTTTTGGGCAATGTGAACAACCGTAGACTAGGGGTGTTGAAATTAATCACTGCATCGCGATGCGGACGTGGAGGATTCTGCATCGATGCAGTAATAGATTGTAATCGATTATAGCCTACTGATGTCATTCGCATACGCGCTTATCACGCCAGTATTAAAAAATGTACCCACTATTTTTAAATTCGAGATCTGGGCACACTTTTGGAAAAAACAAGTTTATAGTGGCACATGTGCGCTAGAGACAATCGCGGCGGGCTTCATTGCACAGAATATGTGCGCTGTGAGACACGTGTGCATTGCTTGACTTGTGTTTCCACTCACTGTTATTTCAGTGTTTTTCTTTAGATATGCTTTCATTTATGCCGTTTGGAATGCAGTACGTATGAGATGCTCGAAACACACTTTGTGCACTTTGTGTTTGTTGTCCTGAAGCACGGCTGTGGTTAAATGCACTTGCATCTCCGAATACTTTTATGATACGAAATTGATGTAGGCCTAAACACAGTCAGTTATGTTTTCAGAACAGGACAAAACATCTGACATGTCGAAATAGATCTGTGCATTTGTGTGAATGCAGCCTATTAACCTGTGTCTATGATCTCATCAGTAATCAAACAGCAATTATGCGGAGGAAAAAAGAAAAACCCAGAAGTACTTTTTGTTTATCACTTGTAATTGTCCTTTTCCCCCTTTATTACTTTATATTTGCTTGTATGTTTTGAAGCTATATTTAGTTGGTTAAATTTTTTAAGGTTTTTTTTATTTATTATTAATTATTTTAAAAAGTAGCCTGCTTATATAATTTAATAAAAATTCACAAAATAAATTTGATATAATCGTGATGCATCGTGATACTGAATCGAATCGTTGACATGATAATTGTAATCGGATCGCATTGTGAAACCAGTGACGATTCACACCCCTGCCGTAGACGCTCTTACTACTGCGCACATTTTTTTTTATATGTTTGCCTCCCAGCAAAGAAATAAAAAATAAATAAAATCAAGAGCCAGATCACGTAAACTGTTAAGACTGGCTACTGTAATATCAGTCAGGTAAGATAACTCAGCTTCATTCCCGCACTCAATTACATAATGTTTTAATTACATATGTACCTTTACGAAAATTAAACATGGTTAAAAAAAAAAAAAAAAGTAAAAGTAACCAAAAATTAACCATAGCTTTGCTATACTAGCCATAGCTGAACTATGGTATTTGTAGTAAAACTGGTTATACTAATGGTAATCAATCCAAATGACTACACACAATGCACACAATGCATACAGAGCACGTGATCTCTGCAACAGCCCAGTGTACAAAACTGACCCTCCCACATCTGTTATAAACACGGAGATATTAGTCCCGTCTGAATTGGTACATGAAAATCAGAGACATTAGGTGATAAGAATCGACATGCTTGAGAAACATTTCTTATTATCAAAGTTGTAAGCAGTTGAGATGCCTAATATTTTCGTGGAAACATTTTGTGGAAACAGTGATACATTTTATATTCTTTGATGAATACAAAGTACAAAATAAGAGCATTTATTTGAAATTTAAATATTTTGTAGCATTATAAATGTTATTCTGTAACATTTTTAGAAACATTTCTTATTATCAAAGTTGAAAGCAGTTGTGATGCCTAATATTTTTGTGGAAACATTTTGTGGAAACAGTGATACATTTTATATTCTTTGATGAATACGAAGTACAAAAGAAGAGCATTTATTTGAAATTTAAATATTTTGTAGCATTATAAATGTTATTTTGTAACATTTTTAAAATCTTTACTATCTCTTGATCAATTGAATGTGTCCTTGTTGAATAAAAGTAAATCTATTGGGCAAATGTCCCCCATTTTTCTTATCGTTGCTACATCCCTGCACAGTCAGTCCCCCGGATTAACCTGGGGTTAAGCACAGAAGGGCACAATAGTGATAAAAGATCCACATAAAATCATGAGAGAAACCAGATGGCAGATGACGTTGAGTACAGAAACACAGTCAGGCATTGTTTTCTAAGCTGAATGTTTTTACCTTGTCAGACAGGTAAATCCAAATGAAAGGAGGAAAACCAGTGGAGCAAGTCTTCCTGTTTTTCTACATACCTTTCTCCAAGGACACACTAATTACAAGCCTACAGAGACACACACATAGTTTGCTACACAGCTAAATTGAGGACAACATCAGGCCTCTGTTTTAAGATGGAGCAGTGCAGGGTGGGATCAACACTGACTGACATGCCTATACCATTCTGACACACTTTTATCTCATCACTGCATTCGTAGGAATGTGAAAACGCCTTGAGATCTCACACTTAACATTAACACGTGTGGTCAGCTGACTCATGAACCCGCAGCAGCTGAACGCTGCGTTAAGCACAGCTCACCTTAGGTGCAAGCTAGAGGTCTGCGTAGGACTATTTTTTTAGTCCCGCTCCCGCAAGGTTATATTCCGCACCCACCTGCTCCCGCTATATATTCACTCTTTGCTCACCCGCTGTCCGCTTAGAATAATTTTCTTCCCGACCGACCGTTCCCGCTAAATTTAGATCTCTTTTCCAGATCTCACATTTAAATTTCCGCTACTGAAAGAAAGAGAGA